TAGGGGGTACTCCCCTCAAAAAAGGCAATTTTTTTTCCAAAGCTATGTATTTAAAATTTTTTTTAATGAAACAACCTTATCACCTCCAAAGTACTCTCCATTACACTTAATACATGTGTCAAATCTGAAATTCCATTCTTGGAAACATTTTTCAAACTCATCTGTTAGAATGGCTGACAGCACCTCTCTCATTTTTTCTTCACCTCTACTACATTGTCAAATCGCTGTCATTTCATGCCCAGTTTCATTTGTGGAAACAAAAGAAGTCGCACAGAGTGAGATCAGGTGAGTAAGGTGTACAGGGGAAAGAGGAATGTTGTTTTTTGCCAAAATCTGGAGCACTGAGATGGCTGAGCGAGCAGGTGCATTGTCATGGTGGGAAAACCAGTCCCCCATCGGCCACAAATCAGCCCTCTTTTGTCGCACACTGTTATACAATCTTTTCACAACATCTAAATGGAAAGCGTGATTAACAGTCTGACCTGGTGGAATGAAGTCCAAATGCACTACAAAATAACATTTTCATCCATTCAGGAAGTTGACAGACAGGTTTCTCATCAAGCAACATTTCACCTTTTTTGAAACAAGAAAACCACTCATATATGAGGGGTTTTCCCATAGCACTGTCCTTATAAGCTATGCTCAACATCACAACAGTTTCTATGGCATTTTTCTCAAGCAGGAAGTAAAATTTCACAGCCACATGTTGTGTCTTAAATTGGCCATCACAAAAAAATGAGGTTCAAGTGAAACCGTTTCTATGAAAAAAATCACTGCGACCAGAAAGAACCTTCCCAGGCGATGCCACTGGTGTACTAACTCAGAGTGAGTTTCTTGATGCTCACCTAGCAGGAAAAATGTGTACTATGAAAGCTCCACTCCACCCAATGCAATTCTGGGTGTTTGGGGGATACTCATTGTATGTACATTAACTTGGATGAAGAGAAAGGTGATATACAATAAAGGTGAGGTCAAATTTATATAAATATATGCTAAGAAAGACACTAGGAGAAGTACAAGATTTAAAGGCAAAAAAAGTAAAACCACACGATGCTACAGTAGCAGTAATTACAATAATGAATACATAGAAATGCAGCAAAAGAGGTGTGGGAAGATGCATGGTACTATACCCATAAATATGTATCAGTCAACAGAGGCTATTTCTGCATATATATTTACATATGATACAAATATACACATGAATATAGAAAAGCACACAGAGGGAAACTTTATGCGAATATTTTAGATATAACCAAACACCTTGAAGGAATACGTTACTGAGCCTGGGGTCTCGAGATCAATTGGCACGACAAAGTTAACAATGTTTTTACATAATAATTGGGCCAATAGAAACTACGGTCTTAATAGTCTCTAAGCAGCCATCTCCAATACAACTATTGGCATCTCCCTTGTCCAGAAAAAAGAATTATGAAAGTCAAAGACACGTGGGAACAATTGGTCCACTGGACTCTTGAACGATGCAACCATCAGCCTCCATGGCTTTGAGACCATAAATACTACATGGTGACTAGCTATTAATATCAACAATGATGAAAGGGGTTCTAATGCGTTAGAAGGTCCTGAATAAAGTGGAAAAGCATGTTGAATGAAATTCCAAATAATAAAAAGAGAAGGCTTACTGGTCAGATCGAGACTGATGGAACTCTGGAATCTATGGCCTTTAGTCACCTTCCAGGCCTGGAACTGAACTCACACCTATGGCTCAATATTTAGCCTAATAAAGCTATGAAGGGAACAATAACATTAAGGCAGTATGCACTACTTACTTAGATCAATCAACCACTTGAGATCAAAAGAAGAGCATTTGCCCAAGTACTAAGTTCAGAAAGCAGGAAGGGTTAGGAAAAGAGGAGGGAAGGAAATGGAAACAATGGGAGGAAATGGGATAAGTGACATTACATTGTTGGGACTGCAGACAAAGACATGAAATAAATATGTATGAATTATTGAATGGAAAACTGATTTGTTTTATAGACCATCCAATTCACAGAAAAAAGTTTAACTTTTATTAAATTAAAAAACAAAACAAAATTAAAGGGCACTGGTACCTGAATGAACAAGCAAAAAACTCCAAGAGCATTAAAATGGAACACAATATTACCACTCAATGGTGTCAAAATTGCTATACAAATTGAAGAGTGCAGAATTTTTTATGGCAGGATTATAGAAATGGAAACACTATTGTCAGAAGTATATGTAGACACAGATAGTAGATATGTTGAGAAATAATAACTTCATATTTTGATATTATTTTAATAAAAGTTTCTATTATTTTATGGTAAAACTTTTAAAAATTACTCTAGTACATTATGATGAATATTTCACAAAAATGGATCTGTGGTCACAGTTTTCACAGACTCATTTCTAGAGAATGGACAATTCAGATCCTTAAAAACCAGTCTAGATATAATTGAGTCTACTTCAATTCTGGAAGAATCAAAGCCACAACACAGGAGCTCAAGTTGTAAAGCACTATATACAGTAATATCATTGAAACATGCAGCAAAGACATTGAAAAGTGACATATTTGGAGTCAGTTCTGCTAAGACATACCACACTTCATCCAGGCTTGGGTCAAAACCAACCCACTTCCATGGATTAAATTCTGACTCAACTCAATCCTATATGGCAGAATAAGTCTTCCCCATTGAACCTCCAAGACGGTCCAGATTTATGGACAGATTGTCATGTCTTTTCTAGTGGAGGCACTGCTGCTTGCAAACCATCAACCTTTCAATTAGTAGCTGAAGTGCACCACAAGGCTTGCTTCCCAACTTGGATAGATGTGAATAAATGTGGATCATCAAGATCTGAGAGGCCACTGCTCCCTTGGGGAAAGGTGCTCTCCCTCCCCCAGAAAGGGAAAACAGACTGCTCTCCTTGATTATCCTATGGTTGATTTTCCACGAAGGCTGGGAGTCTTATGGTTAACTTCTGAGGAGAGCATCTGACACCAAGATTTGAACTGAAACAACAAGACACACACTTATCAAGACTACCCAAAATGATGGTTCTCATAAACTGTCACTCACATTATGTTAAGAAATTAAGTAAGTCATTTCTTCCCCCAAAGGCTTCAAATCAATTCAGTGTTGAAAAGATTCACATTCATAATCAAACTCAAACTTCTGCATATCATATGGTATTAAATTCCTAGCAGACCAAGTACGATTGCACTAATAATTTAAGGCATGCTATTTCAACCAATTAGGCAATGTCATTAATTATTAAATACAAAAATGTCAATACTTTAGTTCCTTTTTCAATATCCTTTCAATATGGTGCATTTAAGTAGATAGTTAAACTTTCCTTAGATGTGCTTATTATTATTCCCATAATGATTGACACTAAAGGTACACTCGCATGCCATAATGATGGCATGTTTCTTTTAGTTAGTGAAAAATTCTCCCCGGAATTTGGTGCACTATGCTGCTCTCTAGCTTTTGTACTCCCTTGTCTCTTGGACAAGAGGTAAGGAAACGAAAGGGGAGAAGCGGGCATTGCTGCCACTTCTCCAGATGCACCCTGCAAACAGAATGGGGATTTTAGTTTGTTCTCCTGGAACAAGCAAGGCTTATAAAGATTTAGGCTACACTGACCATCTCCTAGGAACTCTTTTGGGATCAAGGTTATGCATTGAGCTGCTAAGGGCAAGGTTCAAAACCACTAAATACTCTGTAGGGAAAAGATAGGGCTTTCTAGTCCCCTTACAGATTCAGAAAGGCAGGGGACGATTCTTCCCAATTCTGCCTATGAGTTGGCATCGACTCAATGGCAGTGAGTTCGGTTTTGACTTGGACCACCTCCTGGACACACAATCCAGCACAAAAAAGTTATCATCTTAGTGATTTTGTTTGTTTGTTGTATGGCTCGTCTGCATGTACAGAATAAGGCAAAACAGTGAGCATGTAGGCGTTATACATGGCTTTCCTCTGGATCCTTGTGCCATGGATGAAGATATCCTCAGATGTATGGGAATTTCACAAGTTCCTTTCAGCCTGTCTTATATCTCTTCATCTATAAATGGACTTTAAAACAAAACAAAGCACCTCATGATTCCGACTCACAGAGACCCTCTAAGACAGGGTAGAACTGCCCCAGTGGGTTTCTTGATGGAAGTAGAAAGCCTCATCTTTCTCCCTGAGGGCGGTTGGTGGTTTCAAATTGCTGACCTTGCAGTTAGCCCAACGACTAACTAGGGCTCCATAAGATACTAAGTTAAAATACGTGTTAATTTCAGTTGTCTGCGGCTGAATTTAGAAAGCAGGAGCAAAACCATTTCATTTTAGGGATTTTCTAAGGTTGAAACCACTGCACTGGGAGGAGGGTACAATTGAATAATTGTCCAATAAAGGAAAGTTTTGGTTAATGATGACATCATTGACATCTCCCAAATTTAAAGGAGCACTTAAAAAAACGACAGGTGCCATTTCCCCCCCTCCAGTAAGAAAAGACTCAATAAAGTCTGCCGCTTTACAGTCAAATTACAGTCGTGGCTAGCACTGTCCAGTCAGACCCAGAGAAGCCAAAGAAGGAGCAGCGGTGCTCGGCCACCCAAGCAGCTTGAGCGGAGCACCGGGAGGGTGGCCTCAAGCGCGGCGCTGGTGCCGCCGCATGCGCAGGGTCTGCCGGCGCGCGGTGGGAACCTACCATGGACCAAGGGGTGGACTTCCCACGCTAGCATCACGTTCCAGTGCGGGCAGCCTAGGGGCCCAGGGCCACCTCCGCTCAGACCTGCGAGACGCGCAAAATGCCAGCCAGAGCCAGTGGCCACGGCACCCACGGGGTCCGGGACGGAGCCCGCAATGCAGACTCGCGTGGGGCCGGTTGCCTTCCAGCCAAGGCCGCAGTCAGCCGCCTCAGCGCCTGCCTGTCTCCGCGAACCCCGGGCGCGAGCAGCACTCGGACAGCGCACCTGCCGGCTCCCTGCCCAGCCCGCTCGCCGCCGGCCCCGCAGCACCGCGGCGGCGGGGTCTCACCTGCCGCGTCGCCTCGCAGCTCCGCTAGCCCGCAGCCATGGCCGTCACCGCTACCCGACTTCCATTTTTCTGGGTTTTAAGGCAAACCGGCTCAGCTGTTGGAGTCCAGCTTGGGCTCCAACAGCTGCTCAGGGTCCGGGCCTCTCCTCTCCCGCCTCCACCCGCGCGTCGTGCTCCGCCCTCAGTGGCCTGCGCTCCGCCTGCGCCACGGGGCTGCGCCCACCTCCCGCTCGCCCCACGAAGGAGGGCGCGCCCCGCCTCCCGGCTCTGACGTCATGCGCGCAGCCGCTCCCTGCCTCCGCATGACGCCATTGCCCCAACTCCGCCCCTGGGTTGGCCTAGGAGCGCGCGTCCACGCTGCCTTCTCCTTTGCTCCTGAGTTGCCAGGGTCTCTGCTTCAGATGTGTCCTCAAACCCACTGCCATCCAGTTGAGTCCAAGGGACCAACTGTGTAGGACAGAGTAGACCTTCCCCCATGGGTCACAAAGAGTGTCAATCTTTGGAGAGGTGAAAGGTTTATCTCTCTCCCCAGGTGTAGCCAGCGATCTGTATTTCTACCAGAGATGGTCAGGTTGTTAAAGACCACAGCTTCGTGGCCTACCTGTGACTGTATGTATGCAAGCATCTTTTTTATTTCTTGCTTCCCTGCTCACTCTTCTTAAGTGTCCCCAACTTTTGCGTGCCAACGCTGTCTTGGCTACATTTCCGTGCCCTGCTCCTGGTCCAGTGAATTAAGCCAGTGCCAAAATTGGACCTTTTGCCCATAAACCATCTCTCAGATCCTGTGAGTTACTGAGAAAGAAACAAGACTGTCTCTTTCTATGAATCAAATCAGAGAGACTTGCAGGACCCCTGTTGCCCACCAGGAAAGTGCAAGCCTGTCCTTCCAGCAACCATGCAAAATACACCATGCAAACACCCTAACAGACATTCACAGCAATCGGGGAACCCACTACACAAGCAATGGCCCAAGCTACTGCCAACGGTTCGCAACAGTCTGCAGAAGAGCTTGAGAATTCAAGCATCTGGCAGAGATGAAGGATGCCTCTTGCCTCTGCCTGGAAACTCCAACAATCTCCTATTGCTGCTGCCCCAGCAGCAGTGTTTGGGAGACCATCTTCTCTCTGCCCGGAGAGAGGGATATTTTAACCCCTTGTTGAAAAGGACTAAAGTTAGAATTTTATAGGTGGTTTATGTCGCCAACCACTGTGTGTATTTTGCTTGATTGTCATGATTTACCCGTGATTAGTGTTTCTCCCTTCTCTGTCTTTTCACCCCTAGTGTTTCCAATAAGGCTTTTTTCCTACCAGTTGAGCCATAATGATTGCTGAGGTAAAAAAAATCAATTAGATGGTGGATACAGGCTAACTAACATCTGCTGTCAGCCTGCTATGGAGAGTTGCCACAGCCAGTGCCAGTCCTGGGTGTGCCTACTGGCTTGTTGGAGCAAATTCAGACTGGAGGTCATTCCCTTCTTCCCCCCTTTTAAGCTAACCATTCTCTTTGCCTCGGACTGGTCATTCATTATGGGATTTTGTTTTTGTGACCCATGGCTGCAAATCTCCAGCAACCAAGTCCGAGGGGTAATGTGGAAGATTGGTAGTAAGATTGTATGGGCTGTGGGGGTGCACTAGGCTGAAGTGTAGGACCAAAGAGCACCCTCATCTCTCCTGTCCATGGCCTCCTCACAGACGACCCCTCCCATTCAAAGCATACCAGAGCAGATCATCAAGAACATGTAATCATCAAGGCTGTTTCAAGACAGTGATCATAGGATGGCCTTGGAGAGCAGGTCCCAAAGTGCTAATGCCGTGCCCACAGCCAGCGCAGCTACTCTGGGCCTGTCCCACAACCCCCTGACCCTCCCATTCCCAACCTTAGCAATATAAAAGCAGGCACTTGCCTGGAGGATAGTGCGGACCAACCCCTGGCCCTGCTGGCCATCCCAGGGTCACAGTTCTACATTTCCATAAGTAACTGTCCCATTAATAATAAAGTCCATGTCTTCCAGATTGACTCATGGTCTGTTCTTCAGGCTCCCAGCGCCTACCGATCAGTAAGGATGATCCCTGTTCCTGGCACGTCCCTCAGATTTTGAAACTAGATTTTTTCATTTACTGTTATGTCTTTGAGATTCAACCATGTTTTTATGAATTAATAATTCTTTTGGCAGTTTAGTGGCTTGTTAGTTTCTTGAGCTGCTGGAAGAAATTACCAGCAGAGTAAATTTCACCACTTGTCTGTCTGTCATACTGTGGCGGCTTGTGAGTTTCTGTGATGCTTGAAGCTATGTCATTATAGATCACAACTCAATGTTAAAAAACCCAAAATCCTCACAACTGGACCAATATGTAACATCATGGTAAACAGAGAAAAGATTGTAGTTGTCAAGGATTTAATCTTTCTTGGATGCATAATCTACTCTCATAGAAACAGCAATTAAGAGTTCAAAATGACACATTGAATTAGGCAAATCTGCACGTATGTTGAAAACCAAGGGTGTTACTTTGAAGACTAAGGTGGGCCGGAGTCACCTTAGTGGCAATGAGTATTTCCCAAAAGTCTCATATGCATATAATAGTTTGACATTGAATAAGGAAGACTTACAGACTATAGTGGTGGTGAAGAATAATCAAAGTATCATGGACTGCCAAAAAACAAAGAAACAAACCTGTCTTGAAAGAAATACAACCAGAATGCTCCTTAGAGTCAAGGTTGGTGAGACGTGGTCTCGTGCACTTTGTTAGGAGATACTGGTCTCATGTTGTCAGGAGGGGCTAGTCCTCGGAGAAGGACATTATGCTTGGTAAAGCAGAGCAGCCGAGAAAAGGAGGAAGTTCCTCAACAAGATGGATTGAAACAGTGGCTGCAAGCAGAGACTCAAACATAAGAACAAGTGTGAGGATGATGCAGGACTGGGTGGTGCTTTGTTCTGTTGTTCATAGGATGGCAATGACTTGGAACTAACTAGACAGTACCTACCAGGAGTACATTAGAATAAAATAAATGTATTTTTTCAGAGTTTTAGAGATTAGAAGTCTAAAATCTCTTTTAGGTTGATCTAGCAGGCCCGTCTCTCTACCATTTTTACTTCCTCTTGGCCTCTGGGTTACATAGGCAAGTATTACAGCTCTGTAGTTTAGCCCACAAATGCCCAAACACACCTGTATTAGAGCTTAAATTCTGAGCAATGGGTTTGCAAAGGCTATAGATGACAGTGTAACACAAAAGCCATTTGCAGAGTCCCCAGGTGGATTAAATCTTCTGTTAAATTCCTTCTGACCATTAACCAGGATTGTGAATAGTCTTACCTTCAGGTAGAGTACATTACTTGAGAATAAGATGACGGCCAAGCAGTATA